TGAGGCCTAACCAAGGCTATATAGAGTTGAAGAACAACCTGAGGACTTCTATTATTTATACTTCTAGATATGAAACCAAGAATTCTGTTAACTTTATTGCCATGTCTAATGCACTGTTGTCTTGGTTTTAGATTACTGTTAACCAGAACTCCTAAATCCTTTTCGCAATCAGTAGTATTAAAATCTACATTATTTAGTTTATGAATGAAGTAAGAAATAACTCATCATAAGTACAATGAGTGATTGAACATTAAAATGGTATAAAATACCGACAGTTTGTTAGGTAAGACACATATGCAACAGTTAGGTATCTTTATTTCGAAACGTTTCGCCTACACAGTAGACTTCTTCAGTCGAGTACAGAAAAGTTGATAGAAGCAGAAGATACTTGAAGATGATGTAATCAGTCCATCACCATTGAAGTTTTGAGGTGGTTAGTCCCTCAGTCTGGAGAAGAGTATTGTTCCATAGTCTGAAACAATGGAACAATGCTCTTCTCCAGACTGAGGGACTGACCACCTCACAACTTTAAGGGTGATGGACTGATTACATCGTCTTCAAGTCTCTTCTGCTTCTATCAACTTTTCTGTACTCGACTGAAGAAGGCTACTGTATAGGCGAAACGTTTCGAAATAAAGATACCTAACTGTTTCATATGTGTCTTACCTAACACACAATGAGTGATGTAAGATAACTCAGCGAGGATGGAACAAGTACACTACGAGATAACTCGGCAAGTGTAAAGGGACCAAGACTCTTCGAAATATATAAATATGTATGCACGTGTACTTGCATGGAGTTGATGTGTACAACATACGCACGAAGAAGGAATTTACATACTGTAGATAGGTGAGCTAAAATAGTAGTAAGCGGCGTCACCAGTCGAAAAACCTACTAGTGTAAGTAGGTCATGCCTATAAAGTTAGGTAAGCTTAGAAGAATTCCCTGCGTCAGGATCCCAAGATGTTGTGTCTGACAGAATGTGATTCTATGCTGTTGTTGTCGACCCACGTGTCAGACGAGGTCACGTGACATGGGTCTTAATCATCCCTGGCTGACAGCACTTGAGAGTCACGGTCGAGAGGACCCACCTTTTTTTTTTACGTCCATTACCTTAATTTGTGGATAAACCTATTATGAACTATTGTGCTCAAAAAACATCGTAACAAAATCCACGCAATAATTTCTAATTGTTATGAGGCCTTTCATAGCATTTCATTAGTCTGCATATTTTTTAATTAGGTCTCATTAGCACACACACACACACACACACGCACACACACACGCACACACACACACATGCACGTAATTTATATATATATATATATATATATATATATATATATATTTATATATATAATATATATTTATACATATATATATATATATATATATATATATATATATATATATTTATATATATATATATATATATATATATATATATATATCGTCGAATTTTCAAAATGTTGTTGCCGGAAACCAAAAATTCTTGTCGATAACAAGACCTGGACGTATGGGATTGAAATTAAGTTTATGTAGTAAGTTACACCAGAGCTTCAGGAACATAAATTCGTCAACCATAATGACATCATCAATATTACCTGAGTTATACATGGAAGCAGCCAAGAATAATGGTGGAAACAGAGTGACGTCAAATTTATCTTGAAAAATGGACGTGTGTGAACGTCGTTGTCTAAAATCAGCAACAATTACTTTTAGCAATACAACTGTGTCAGAGACGGGGAGTTTCAACATCTTCAAAGTTTTAACCAAGTTGATCTTAAATCCGTCAAGACCTGGACGTCACGTGACGTCGATTAGGCTACTGAAGCACCAACTTGCCTTACCCCGCCTGCACTACGACTGTCCTCCACTACATAAATAAGTAAAAGGCCTGAGCTTGCTACCACATGCAGCTCACAAGACTGCCATCCCCACGAGCCCCTTCGAGGCGGGGTAGATGGCAGACCAGAGGCCTAGCTTCTCCCTACGAGCCCCGTGAGGGCGGGGAATGTGGCTAGGCCTGGGGACAGTTGGTCCCAAAGATGAGGGGGTACTTGTACCTCCTCCCATGGGAGACTTAAGTCTCGAGACACTCCCCAGATAGGGAGCCAAGGCCGGGTCACCACTACTTGGAAAAGACCCGGGCCGGGAGAGTACCGGCGAATTAAAAAAAAAAAACTACATAAATATAACCCTAATTTTTAACGGGGTGTACAGGTAAGCCAGCCAGCAGAAAAGCTCCAGCTGCGTGTCATCATACGACTAAGACCCACGTCAGGAAACACTTGTCCTGTTTCCTGACAAAACTTACCTAACTTAACCTGTCCTCCAGTCTACTGTGTACCCATGTTCTTAACTCGCTCTTGCACTGATATAGCTCCTGGTGTGCCAATCGTATCCTAATAAAAGTTTCCTTAAATTGCACATATGTCTCTTCTATCCCATTGCTAGTACAGTATCTTTGTGATACAAAATCCAGTTGGTCGATTTACGGTAACATATTTGAAACATTTGCTGAGTGAGAGTACCACTGGCCATAGACAACATTTTTCAAAATTCGACAGTTTTTAAATATATTTTTCAAATAAATATGTATGTACTAAAATGACATAATGAATAAATTGCAGACTAAATGAAATGGCATGAAAAGCCTCGTAAGGTCGTGTTATGTAGCTATTGTATACAAGTGGAGTTGTTGACCTCTATTATTGTGTCTTCACAGAAACGTAGTATCACGATCATGGAAGGAGCGTAGTCTTGCCTACAAGTGTGAAGACAAAGACAAGTTGCAGAACATGGTTAAATCGGCACGACGTTTTGCTCTCTACAGTCCTTTATCAACACTACACAGAGTGAAAAGTTGTTCCAAATCAAGTTTACTCAGCAACTTGTTTCTCTGTCTTACAAACCACGAGGAGGGACTCAAACCTAGCATTTAGTCATATTGCTCGTGCAGGAGTTTCTTGAGCCCGACACGACCGAGCACATATACCGAGAGTAATGTATCTCCTAGTGTATATGCAGAAATGAGTATATCCCAGTGTATATGCACTGAGATCAGTATCACTAGTGTATATGCACTAAGATGAGCATCTCCCGGTGTACATGCACTGAGATGAGTATCTCCCGGTGTACATGCATTGAGATGAATATCTCCCGGTGTACATGCACTGAGATGAGTATCTCCCGGTGTACATGCACTGAGATGAGTATCTCCCGGTGTACATGCACTGAGATGAGTATCCCCCGGTGTACATGCACTGAGATGAGTATCTCCCGGTGAACATGCATTGGGGATGCGCTGAGATGAATATCTGACAGTGTGTTTATTGTATAATGGGTTTATCTAGGTGTACATACATAGTGTATATTGAATACTTTTCTCAGTAAAATATTAGTGGCGTTAGTATACAGGAAGACTGGCAGTGCCGTGTTTTTATTTACGTTTTTCGCACCTATCTGAAATACCGTATTTCGTGACGCAAATTTAACAAAAAATCAACTGTGCCACAGCGAACCTGCAGAGTTAAGGACAGTCATTCAGTAGGTAGACATTAATAATTAAACCTGATAAACCAATTGACTCGAAATTGAAATTTCTGTGGCGAAAAGAATGTCTGTTGGCTGGCTTATTAAGTTTAAAGACTATCGATTACACGGGTATCATTTAGGCTACATGCCGCCTACACACCACCAGTCAAGAATACTTTTGTATCTTATAATAAGCATAAAAATAGAGAAGTACTACTGTATGGTAGCTTAATTTATCTTATCTCTAAGAGTATATTTACTGATCACTCTCTCACTCTCTCTCTCTCTCTCTCTCTCTCTCTCTCTCTCTCTCTCTCTCTCTCTCTCTCTCTCTCTCTCTCTCTCTCTCTCTCTCTCTCTCTCTCACACACACAACACACACATACGTATATATATGTATATATATATATATATATATTATATATATATATATATATATATAATATATATATATTTATATATATATATATATATATATATATATATTTTTATATATCGCAAAATATTTTGAACTTGACGAAAAAAATATATTTCATTGTGTTCGTTTTATTAATAAATTATTGTAAACTTATCTAAAATATATTTAGTTGGATTAGGTTAAATTATATTGCGCTTGTTATAATAAGGTTAGGTAAGTTTTCTAAGGTTCTTTTGGTACAAAATTATTATTTTTTACATTAACATAAATGAAAAATATGTATCTTTAAACGTATAAGAGAAAATTTTAAAAAGGACTTAATTTTAAATGAGTTCTTGCTAATTGACCAGTTTTACCTATTTGGCACGACACACACCACACACACACACACACACACACACACACACACACACACACACACACACACACACACACACACTCAAGGAGGCCTGGTCACAGACCGGGCCGCGGGGGCGTTGACCCCCGGAACTCTCTCCAGGTAAACTCCAGGTAAACACACACACACACACAACACACACACACACACACACACACACACACACAAGTCGTGGAATAGTCTAGAAAGTGAAGTAGTGGAGGCGGGAACCATTTCATAGTTTTAAGGCGAGGTATGATAAAGCTCATGTAGCAGGGAGAGAGAGGACCTAGTTTGCAATCAGTGAAGGGGCGGGGCCAGGAGCTAGGACTCGACCCCCGCAACCACAAATAGGTGAGTACAAATAGGTGAGTACACACACACACACACACACACACACACACACACACACCCCACACACACACACACACACACACACACCCCACACACACACACACACACACACACACACACACATATATATATATTATTATATATATATATATATATATATATATATATATATATATATATACCTCTCTGTATATGTTTATCAGTCCATAATATAAATATTTCTGTTGCCAGTGCATTCACATATAGGGACGTATACACTCTCCATTCTATACCTCAAGTGGCGAAAGATGTTTTTCCTTAACCAGTGCTTTTTAGACGTGTTCGCCTTGGTGTCGTACCTGCCAGAGGAGGACGCCTATCGTCTTCAGGTGTACTCTGAGGAGACGGTGCCTCTCTTCGGCCCCTCCCTGCCCTGCCCACCACTATTCTACAACCAGGAGGAGTTCCGCGAGTTTCTTCTCGTTAAACGTGAGTCTCGTGTCTAAGTTTTGTGTTAGAGAATTGTGGTTCCCTCAGCGTTTTGTTAGGTCAAGACCTTTATATATACCAATAGGTATATTTTGTTACAGATGATTTAAGAGATACATTGCTGCTAGAAAGATGGCACATGCAGTACATGAGGTGTGAGAGATACATGTCTAGTACATATTTTTACATGTTTGTCACTGATTATAATGCGAAAATCTCATCCAGCTCCTCAGAGCTGGGGCGCGTACCCAAAATACAGCAGGCATTACCCCTCTGAACAGCAGCGCTGAGTCGCTGGAACAGAAAACTAGCTGCCCTGGGATCCCTAGTTACCCTGATGAGTCTTTGGCCTAGCTCCTTAAGGAACTTAGATGCATTCTTTCCCCATGAGCCAAGGGTCTCGGAGCCTGTGGGAACAAACATATAATGATGGGCAAGTTCTCCATAGTTTCTAGACTTTTGGGACTCCGTGAAGCTGGCAGCTGCCCCTCCTTCCTCCCTTGTGTATTGGAGATAGGTATCAGCCAAGGTAGATGCACATGTGTAGTCCCACACCACCTGCTTACCGTCTGTCCAGGTTTGAAGGGTGATACCATCTGGACGCTTCTGGCTGCCATCATAGATAACAGTAAGGTGATGAGGGTATCAAATGATTTAGATAAAGAAAAATTTGATATCACATTGGAGAGAGGGAGTATGGAAGAAGTGAATGTTTTCATATATTTGGGTGTTGACTTGTCAGCGGATGGATTCATGAAGGATGAGGTTAACCATAGAATTGATGAAGGAGAAAAGGTGAGTGGTGCATTGAGGTATGTGTGGAGACAAAAAAATTTTTCTATGGAGGCAAAGAAGGAATGTATGAAAGAATAGTGGTACCAACACTCTTATATGAGTGTGAAGCTTGGGTTGTAAATGCTGCAGCGAGGAGGCGGCTGGAGGCAGTGGAGATGTCCTATCTAAGGGCAATATGTGGTGTAAATATTATGCAGAGAATTCAGGGTGTGGAAATTAGGAGGTGTGGAGTTACTAAAAGTATTAGTCAGCGGGCTGATAAAGGGTTGTTGAGGTGGTTTGATCATTTACAGAGAACTGGTCAACGTAGAATGACTTTGAGAGCGTATAAATCTGTAGGGTAAGGAAGGAGGGGTAGGGGTCGTCCTCGCAAAGGTTGGAGGGAGAGGGTAAAGGAGGTTTTGTGGGGGGGCTTGGACTTCCAGCAAGTGTTAGTGGAGTAAATGGAGACGAATGGTTTTTGGGACTTGACTAGCTGTTGGAATGTGAACAGGGTAATATTCAGTGAAGGGATTTAGGGAAACTGGTTATTATAGATTTAGCCGAACTTGAGTCCTGGAAATGGGAAGTACAATGCCTGCACTTTAAAGGAGGGGTCTGGGATATTGACACTTTGGAGGGACGTCTAAACTGTCGTATCTGAGCACCTCTGCAAAGACTGATTATGTATGAGTGAGGTGAAACTGCTGAATGATGATGAAAGTATTTTCTTTTGGGGATTTTCTTTCTTTTTGGGTCACCCTGCCTCGGTGGGAAACGGCCGATTTGTTGATATATATATATATATATATATATATATATATATATATATATATATATATATATATATATTATATATATATATATATATATATATATATTATATATATGTAGTGAATACGTAAAACTTGCGATTTTGGCTTAAATAGCAACGCTCTTGCCGAATAAGGCAAGCGAAAATTTATGCATGCAGTAATGTCGCAAAAATCATTCTAAACTTAACGAAAAAATATAGTTCATTGTGTTTGTTTATTATTAAATTATTGTAAATTTATCTAAAATATATTTAGCTGCATTAGGCTAAATTAAATTGCGATTATTATAATAAGGTTAGGTATGTTTTCTAAGGTTCCTTTGGTACAAAATTATTAATTTTTACATTAAGAAAGAAGAAATTAAACCTTTCTTTTTCGGGGCCTCATTATGCACTTTGAAGAAGGATGGGGGTATGAGACCTATTGTTGTCGGTAACACTTTTCGCCGGCTCCTTGCCAAAACAGCAGTAAGAAACATTCGCGTAGAAGCCGCCAGTTTACTCCATCTAAACCAACTGGGCTTTGGCGTCTCTCAAAGGAGTGAAGCTGCAGCTCATGCAGCGAACTCAACATCTGGTACCTAGATGGTGGCACTCTGGCAGGTACAGAAGAGTCCCTGCTAGAGGACCTACAACGGGTGAAGACACAGGGAGAAGCCTTAGGGCTCATCCTCAATCCCTCCAAGTGTGAAATCATCACAACCAGCCAGGTAATAATCACAGCTGTGCAAACAATCTTTCCTGAAGCCTCTACTGACCACCCCGTCCAAGAGCATCCTCTTGGGAGCACCACTGGGTCATCAGGCCATCGACACAGTCCTCCAAGGACAAACTGAATGACTTGAAGAGAATGGAGGAGAGATCTTGATGCCCATGATGCCCTGTATCTCCTCACAGGGTGTCTTACCTTGCCAAGACTCACTCACTCCTTGAGGTGCGCATCCTGTTTTGACAACCCAACACTTAGCCGCAGTGGTTCCCAAACTGGGGGTAAATTACCCCCTGGGGGTAATTTAACCATTTTTGGGGGGTAATGGAGGGGTGACAGAAAAAAAGTTATGAATTCTGAAAATCAAGAAAACAATGCGGTACCCGGTATGAGGATTATTGTTAACTTTGTCTTAGATATAAAGTTTTAAAGTAAACCTTATAAGTAATAATAAAGTTAAAAACCAAATAACAATAACTCAAAAACAATATACAGTTTTTAAAAAAGAAAAATAATGAAAAGTGTGTGGAAACCCAAAATTTTTTTGACAAGTATGCTTCGGAAAAAAGTAACTCGTAGCCCAAATCGACCTGTCCAGTACGCGACTCATTCCGACTCCCATTTCACACTGTCTTTTTACTTGAGCATCCCCCGAGGTGCATAAGTGGTTTAAGCCAAAAATTTCCCTAAACTAGTTTCAAGTATCAACTCCATCCATCCCATGATTTCTTGACTTCTTTGGAATGTCATTAGAGATCACAAGTTAAAAATACAAAAAAATAAAAAAATATCTCAATGTTTTATTTTGATATATATCAATAAAAACAACATTTTGGGGGAAAGGGGGTAACATGCTTTATGGGGCTGTTAAATTGGGTAACAAGCTGAAAAAATTTGGGAACCAATACTTAGCGAAAAGACCCCCGAGATCATTTTAAAAAGGCACTGAAACTGTCACGGGAAAATTTTCCCTGGGATAGGCAGGGAGCTTACCTGCTTTTTGTCCCGGCAGGCTTCCGTGGACTGTCAAAGTTATTGTCTCCGAACACTTGAGAGGGGCGGTAAGCTCAAAACCCCAGGTTCACTGAAAAGGCCACGCGGTGGGCTTCTTTCAGACTCTTCCCAGAGACCGCCCTCTCTTCCCAAAAAAAAACACAAACATTTCCCCCTGGGACAAAGGTATGGGAAAAATTGCCAACACAGTGCTCAATAACATTACAGGAAAGGACAAAGCTTGTATCCTAGCGGTGGAGGCACCACATTCAAAAGATTTCCTTTTAGTTGCTCCCATTCCCTCCCTGGGCACCCGACTTGACCCACAGGCCATTCGGGCTGGTGTTGTTCTTTGCTTAGCCGCCCCCATACTCGTCGAACATAGGTGTATTTGCGACAAGGAGTCGGTTGATCAATTCAGACTTCATGAGGAGGTCAACGATATCAAAGAGAAATCTCGCCACGGCCCGTTGCCCAACTCAACGGGAGTCCCAAATGAGGTCCGACGGAAGTCAGAAGTGTCCGGATGGAGCCACTATGCTACCCTGGAAGGATGGTAAGCAGATTGCCTGGGACTACACCTGTGCTGACACGTTGGCGGACACCTACTTGCCATACTCTGAAGTTGAAGGGGGTGGAGCCACCAGTTACAGGGAGACCCAGAAGATCCGCAAATATGCAGACCTGCCCCTTACTATAACTTCATCCCAGTAGGGTCAGAGACCCTTGGAACTTGGGGCAAGTATGCTATAAAGTTCCTCAGAGAGCTGGATGAAAAGCTCATCACAGAAACCAAGGACCACAGAACGGCCTGCTTCCTTTTTCGACTTAGTGTTGCGGTCCAGAAGGCAAATGCCTGCAGTCTTCTGGGAACGCAGCCCACCACCGGGGAGCTGGATGAAGTGTTTGAGATGTAGGCTCTGAGATGTTATTTATGTTGTTCTCATTTCTATTATATCTTTGTTAATATATTTTGTTTATAAATAAATTTTGCATAGAATATCTGATATTGGGGGTGGTAGGAGAGGAAAATATTCAAACGTTCCAGGGAGAATCTCGAGTTTTCCCTGAAGTAAATTTATTCTCTTCTCTGAGGATGTGGGTCCCCAGGACAGTTCCAGAGGTGGTACCTTCCTATATTTTTAAACGTATAAGAGAAAATTTTAGAAAGGACATAATTTTAAATGAGTTCTTGCAAAGTGACCAATTTTACCTCTTCGGCACGACATTATATATATATATATATTATATATATATATATATATATATATTATATTATATATATAATATATATATATATATATAATATATATATATATATATATATATATATATATATATATATATATATATATATATATATATATATCCTGAGGCAGATTTTTACGAAAGTACTTAACCTTACTCTAGAAGATGGGCAGTGGAACCAAGCTACACTTCCAGTCAAACTAGGAGGCATTGGTGTCTGCAAGTCATCACAGATTGCGCTACCTGCTTTTCTTTCCTCGTGTATTGCATCCAGAGGGCTTGTAGCAGCGATTCTCCCTGAACATCTTAGGGACAAGATTGGAGTCCAGGACCAAAAGTTCATTGACGGAGCCATGATCTGGGATAATCTAACGGCCTCTAAAACCAGACCTGCTCCCCCCAACAACTACAAACAATCGCACTGGGATGGTCCAATAATGGAAAATATAGCCTCAACAATGC